TCTTTCAAGGAATGATTGACGAACATCGTCAGGTTCGTCGAGATATTTCCATAATGCCAATAAATCTTCCTTCATTTTTTCAACGTAGCACTTTGTATCTTCTATCTGCATACTTAATTCATCCGTGTACTCTTTCAGTTTTGTCATATTGTTCGTACTCAGCACAAACTCCTCAGGATTGTTGCAGACTAACTCTATAAATGGAGAAGATGGAGATATTTCCAAATCATTCATCATTTTGATTATAGAACGACGTATATCCATAAAAACATTCTCCAAATGTGTCTTCTCAGTCTCTTGCTTTTGTAGATAAAGTTTAAAACTCTCAAGATCTTGCTCCGTAGGTACAACATCCTCGACTATGTTTAATGCTTTGCAGCCGAGCTTCTTGCAAATTCCTTGTTCCTTCGATAATAATTCCTTGAGGATTACAATACGCTCTTTTTTCATGCACTCTAAATTTTGTAAATCTGTTTGAAGAATTTGTTCAACTTTGCACAAAGGAACGTGATTATACGTTTTGGGTATCACCTCCATTTGTAATTCTGCATACAATGACGTTGTTTGCTTGAGGAGATCCTGTATGTTAGCAAACAACAGTTGCTGCTTTGACTGTGCCTCGGCGACCATGTCGTTTAACAATTCCTTTATATGACTATGCGCTTGGTCATAGTACGTCGATCGCATATCCCTGGTGCATCCAATGCCTTCCCAGGTTTTCTGCAGCACGTCGAATGCCTGTTCGAGTTCCTTGACTATTTTTTGCACGACAGGCTTCCACTCTGGTTGATCGGCCATTATTTCTATCTCTTTATTTTCTTCGAGAAAGAATAATATCCAAGTTAGGAATACGCCTCAATACGTTGTTATAATTTGTGCATCGTCGCATACATACCTCAATCTCTAGAAAATGTCAACCTATTGCACGAAAGAAATTCACACGCGTCACTTTCCTCAGGAAACGACGCCACAGTAAACCAAGTAAACGCATACGCATTCCGTTAGCTTTTTGAATTTAAACGGTCTATATGCGAGCTTTGCTGAGTTTGCTTGATGGCGTTGCTGTAGCAGCACCGAAGCGTTCCGAAGTTCATAAAAAGTTGTACATACGTTGAAAAGAACAGGGAGTCGATTAAGCTGAATTCACACTGCGTACGGTATCCAGTAGAATTTGGCTGCGTTCAGCAGAAAAAGCAATTGACCTTTGCAATTGACCCTGTTCTTTTTAGCCGAACTTCTTGCACGGTTTATCATGTTTCTTTTTCTCTCCAACGTGAAGAGAAATGGAAAAAAAAGAATCACGCAAGAACTTTAGTTAAAAAGAACAGACCCCTTGTTAGGTCTGTTTTTTATTGTTACACTTTCTGAACTGGTATATCCAAGAATTTTACAACAGTTGCAAAGCTACTTTTTCTGCTGAACGCAGCTATTGATGTATTCTTCCAAATCTAAAGCCTTGTGTCCACGATGCTAGAAATCGGTCCGAGAACTCGGATGAAGAAAGAATTGACCAATTGCAATGGTCATGTGATCAAATTGTTCAAATGTGATTTGTTAATTTTTTCTCTGTCCGAGATCTTGGACCGATTTCTAGCATCGTGGACACAAGGCTTAATAGCGTTTTCGGCCCGGCCGGGTTTGCATCAACCTGGGTTGGATTAATGGCGTTTTGGACTGTCCTATTGGTAGAGCGTGTGACGTCAACCAATAGGAAAGATTAATCCAACCCAGATTGGTGCAAACCCGATCGGGCCGAAAACGCTATAAAATTCTGATTAGATGATTTAAAAGATTACATTAATAACAGCGAGTACTTAGTTGTTAAATTCGCTGAATGCGACCAATGAAATTTCTGTCTTTTCGCACGTGACAATATAAAGCCTGCGGCACACGATGCTTGTTTTCCTGTTTGGCAAGCTTCTAATCCAGCTAGCAATCCAGTAGGAAAACAAGCATCGTGTGCCGCCGGCTTAAATCTGGGGCTTGATTATGGATTTTGAAAGAAGGTGAAAATTACAAAAGTGAGCAAATGTTACTAGGTATTAACCAATTAAATTATCAATACTCTAGTGAATTTGCTCACTTCTGTAATTTTCACCTTATTTGAAGATACACAATCAACCCCCAGAACTTTTATTGGATATCACTCGTCGAGTCGTCGCATCCAATGTGCAAATTGCAATAGTCAAGTCTAAAGGCCCGTCT